ATGCAACTCCTCACATGGGCATAGAGTAAAGCTTGGGGAATGACTAGGAAATGGTAGCTTGACTATTGCAAGCTTATGGTACTTGCAAGAGATTGAGCAAAAAAGACAATCAGATTCAAAGAGATTTCATGACAAATCAAAGAAATTCTGCAAAAAGCAGAATTCAAAAGCAAAAGTCAGAATAGCAATTAGTCCTGTCAGCCATCTTCAGTGAAGGTTTCAGCATCATAAATATAAAAATCAAAAACCCCATACTATCCCTTTTCTTATGAGCAGCCATCCATGATATATTTATGAAATATTATGGTCAGCTATATTCATAGCACACACTGCAATACATCATGCCAGTAACAAGCAGTGGTAGCTCCCTCTGATTATTCAAAGATTCCCTGCTGCCTCAAGAATAACACAGCATGGAAACAACCCCAGTACAGAGCATGATGCCTGCCTGAGCATGATTTCTCTCCACTCTCCACCATGAATTCCCTATTGATTTTTAAGGTGAATAGTAAAAGGTACTGCCTTTGATGGAGATAAATATCAAATGCTCGGGCTCCCTAAAAAAATACATTTTATCTTTGGATACAAGTTGGAGTAACCTTGATAAAAAATTCAGATTTTGAACTGAAATGGGAGAGGTGCCTGGATTGAAGGCCTGCCCTACCTCAGCAGCCTTTGAGTTCTCATTGACAGCACTAGCTTCTACTGTGCTCTGCTCTGCGCTCCACTGATATAATATTAATAGTTTTAAAAGATAGGGATCAGAATTCATTAGAACAGGTGTTTTATTAAGAGTAAGTTGAAATTATGTAATTTTGTGATAGGGAAAATAGGCCAAAATATCTTGATATCTACAAATTCTACACATTTTTGCAATACTGTGAGCACATGCAATTCAGTAAAGGTGCACAAAAAGGTAAAGGTACAGTAAAAAATCACATAGACAGTCAAGAAGTAGATCGAGATCACAGTGGAGATACCACTGGCATGCCTCTCAAAACACAGACACACACTGTGCAAGCAGCAGTCACAGATCACAGCTCTTTAAATGAGGGAATATTTTTTAATTCTTTGCCTTGAAGGGCAACCGAACACAGTGGGAGAGGATGGAAAGCACGCCAACACAAAAAATTGCCAAAAGCACAGGTTTTTCCCTTAAGTGCAATATGCAGAGCTCCCAGTGGGGGAATGCAAGGCCTCCACACTGCTTTGCAAGGGGCTCTGGTTGGCAGCAGCTCCCTTGTGCTGTCACCAGCTTCATCTCCAGACTCACAACTCACATCAACACTTATGTGCCACAGATCAAGCCAGATCCCACTGCTGTATGTTCAGGTAAATTTATAATCAAGCTCAAGAGGGAAGAAGGTCAACGGCAGCAGGAAGACACACATGTCAATATACAGACAGGCAGCACTTCCTCAGCTCAGCCACACAGTGAAATGATACAGGAATTCAAAGGCCACCCATTGCTTTGCACCTACTGTATGGCAAACATCCAAGGTGTTAATCAAATACAGAGTCAATGGAACTTGCATCATTTTTCACAGTGTTATCAGCAAATTACTCGGCCCACTTCTCCAAAATTTTGCATTAAAATAAATCCCTTCAAAGTCATTTGAATTTCATGCAGTAAGCAGCCTCTTGTGGTTTTATACAACTAAGTAAAATATGAGATTCTAGCCTGAATGGAAGTAGAAAATGAACATGCCAAGATGAGTTTCATTACACACGTCTGATGTGCAACACATGAAATCAAATAAATTTACCTATTGATGCAACTGTCAGCCAGAAAAAAATGACTGCTTGGCTGTTTCTCCTATAAACAAAAAAGCCCAGCCTCAGAGAATACTGCTTCACTTCCCTCAATAACACAGTCCTCTTCACTCTGCTGCTTCTTCACCCCAGGGATTCATTTTTATCTGACTAGAGAAATCCATCATCCAGTAAAAAGAATTAGCCCATTTCATTTCACTTTCCTAGAATACAACCACAGATGCTCAAAAAGATAGAAAAGAAATGGGTTTTATAGGAAGACAAGGGCTTGGTACCATTTATCCTCTCCAAGGTGCAAAAAGCCAGGATTGTTCTGAAAGCAAGTTACTGTACATATTACTTTAAATTTTAGGAAGGGAATGGCCGATTTTGAGTCTTTTCAGGCAGGTATGCATCTTTAAGACTCTCCAAATAGTATGCTAAGATTAAGAATGTTTTATTCCATTATTATGATTAGCAGGGGAAATAATTTTAAAAGCTGAAATGTATCTCAGGAAATGCATAAAAACCCCCAAATTCTACTAGTTGCCACATGCAGCTGGTGACAAATACTCAGCAAAATATTTGGAAGGATAAAGTATAATTTAAAATAGCTCAATACAATCTTAAATGTTCCATCTTTAACTACAGTTAAGGAAACATTTCAGAAACATTTTGGCAAAACAAAGAAACCAAGCTGGTTATTAGGGATTCTCAAACATTTTGAGCAAAATCCACTTGTGTGTTACCAGCTCCAGCTTTTCCATCATGCATCTACATTCTGCATTGTGTCATGAGAGCTTAATCCTTTAGCAGTTAAACTGGGCACATACCAAAATAAACAGACCTCTTTTGCTCATTTGTTCCCACTGAGTCTGTAGGCAGGGGAACACAGTGATGCATATCACAGTCTCACCCTACATACCCATATCAGAGTCTAGGAAAAAAAAAAAAAAAAATTTAAGATAAAGCTATAGAGTCAAGCTGCCTGAAAAGCAGCAGCCAGGTCCAGGACTCAGCCATGGAACTTTGGGATTGTTTAGGCTGGAAAAGACCTCTGAGTCCAACCATTAACCCAGCACTGCCAAGCCCACCACTAAAACACATCCCTAAGTGCCACATTTGCACATCTTCTAAATACTGCAGGGATGGGCCAGAGCCAATGCATTCATGCATTCACCCCACACCTGTTCACCTATGCTCCCCAAGAGTCCATCACAGCAGAGATGCTCCTCCTCCTGCAGGGATACCACACAGGTCAGAGATTCCTCACCTTCTCATGGGGACAGAAGAGGTAACAGGGCTACACTACCTCAACAAACAAGTCCTTTTGAACTAGCAGATGACACCTGTAGTGTTTCCCAATTTCTTAAAGTACAACCTCTTCCTGCTGTGAAGTAATTCAACTGTCTCTCTAGTTCAAGAAACAGAAGCCTGGACTGGAGGTGCTGAATCTGGACAGTGTTGGATAATATAGAAATTATTCAGTTCTCAGTGGGAAAAAAAAAAGTCAAATTCAAACAAGTGAAGGAATACTACTATAACAGTAAAAATACTCTCTGCATATAAATTCTCATCCACGCTGTTCTGTTTTTCAGAACACATTTTAAAGACCTTGAAGAAGATGTTACAAAGCAACAGAACAAAGTCATACATAATTGTTATAACTACTTCTTCAGAGCAAGCTGTTTATAACAGAGAATACAGTATGCCCAATAATTCCAATTTATTATTCAAGTACCATTAAAATCATTGAAGCATATCTTTCAGATTTGCAGGCAACTCTACTAAAATGAGTATTTCTAACCAATCTACATTTCATAACATGTTCACTATTAATGCAATAGCTTCAGGGAAGGGTTTTGCTTTGTTTTTAAATTTCAGTCTGTTCCACTGTCTGACGGGACATCCAGGGATTTCTCCCTTAGTTCAGTTTTACTGAAAGCCAAGACATATGGACTGACTGTCATCAGATACTCACTGTGATTTTATTAAAGGATTTTAGTAATTAGGCACAAGCTGAAATCTATACTGTTTTCTCATATTACATAGACCCCACTAAAAAGCTTACACATGTATAATGTCTGGAACTTATGGTAATGCATGACTGAGCCATTAGCAACACAACATAATAGCATTTCTTTGAAGAAAGCTGCCAGTGAAAGACAATACCTGCAGTGGCATGGCAGAAGTGTGAATATTTCTTCTACATTTAGAACATGTTTTTATTCCTATCAGCTGTCATTACACTTGTCAATACTTAAGCAAGCTATTGAGAGATGAGGGAACCCTCATTCTGATTTATTACAAATATTCAGTGAAAAAAAATTTTCAGTACCTAACCAAGTTAATGACACTGGCAAATGCTAGGACATATTTTATTTTTTTTCAGTAGTTACTCTATCCTGTGGCCATCATGGTTTTCTCTGCTGGAATGGCAGTGTTGTCTCATGTATCATTGACTAACCAAAGTTTTTAAAGTTATCACAAGTACCAAATCCCTCTTGCACAACTGCTTTGTTATTATTGGAAATCGGATTATGAAAACTTAATTAAATATGTCAAATGGCACAAGAAACTCTGCTTCACAATGGATAACTCTGAATGGAAGTATTGGCTGAAGAACTATATTTTAAGTATGTTTACTGAGTTATTTTATGTAATATAAAAGCACTTAAGGCATTTGGGGATAAAAAAGCTGCAACAAATAACATTAAACTGGCTGAAAATACATGACATGTATAGATTAGTAGATTATAGATAGTAGATAATTTTGAGGTAGAGTAGTTGCAACAATTGTAAATAAACTCTTGTAAACAAACTAAACCTAGAGTAGTCCAAATTTCCATTCATTCCCTTCATGTTGTTTTATTAAAGTTTTTTAATAATGATAAACAAAAATGAACAACTTATCACATGTATTCAGCATTGCTCTTAGACCATCATAAAACTGTACCTGACAGCATATTTTGCTTTTACCCCTAGACATTAATTTGGTATGGATACCAAACAAGTAGCATGACATTGAAGTGCAAACAAATCATCAGATTAACACGAACATCATCTTGCTCTGATGTGAAGGTAATATGCTACCTGTGCAATATGGTCTCAGCCCCTTTCACTAGAGCACATGGCAGTCACAGCACTTTGATTCACAGGATCTATGCATATGCTCAGCAACATTAGTTGACACTTTCTGCTTATCTTCATTTGCACCCAAATTTAAATGAAAAGAAAACACCACTTACTTGCTTTTTCCTTTGTATACTGTAGCATAGGACCCTTCCCCTAGTTTTTCCAGTTTTTCATAAGAGTCTGCTTTTCCAAACTTAGGGCTTGTAGGCTAAACAAAACAAAACAAAAAAAAATATCTTTCAGCATTGCACCCATAACATTAATTGCTTTAACTCAACCTTTAGAAACCAAATATCATTATGGAGGCTCACATACCTGCTGGTTTTCAGTAACCAACAAGAAAAAAGTAATTAATAAGGAAATAAACATTAATATTTATTCAACAACTCAGATGGTAGTTGCTAATATCAACCATACAGTTCCATCACTGGATCTATCAAAAATATTTTGTTCTTAATCAAAGAGATGGTTCTGTTTTATTTTTACCTGTGTCACTTCATAGAGGAAAAAAAGACCATTAACAACTAAAGCATCTTGTCTATGTTTAGAGATCTAAACAGCATCCTTAATCTGCCCTACAAAATCAGACTAGTAAAGCTGTTTAATAATTTTTTTCTTTCTCGTTTTTTTTAGACTAAAGCTCATCCAAAAACATAGCTCTAAGTAGTTAAATGTTCCATTAAATCACTCATTGTTCAGAGAGTGGTCAAAATGCTACAGGAAAGCATCTTTAATGATATCATCTTCTGAATTATGGTTAGAATCTTCATATGTGGATATAATCACATCATATTTTAATGTACATTTTACATAGCTGATAAAAGCCCTCTATCCTTAATATTTGCAGCCTAAGTGAGGAGTCTAAAACTGAATCAAGCTAAGGAATGATCCTTGCCCAAAGGGTCAGATAGCTCAGCTGGCCTTTGTGACAGACTTACACTTGCCCCTCTTTTACACAGTCCTAACAGAGAATAAATCAACACTGCAAAAAGAGAAATTCACCTAACATTAAAACTTACAATTCTGAAATTCTGAGCAAATGTTTGACTTTTTTGATGTGCATCCTGTTTTCCCACATTTCCCCATTTTCCAGTTGTCTGGAAGGAAACAATTTTATTTTTTCTCCAAGACCAGATGGACACTGCAAAAAACTGACCTGCAGCTGCCCTTAGCATCACCTACATATCTTTTGGACTGCAGAGCTCAGATATCCTTCCTGTCCTAAACCAACCAAAAGATCATAGAGAAAGTTGGGAAAGTCAGCACTAATACTCAAATCACACACAGTGACTGATTTGATAATACTCTTGTTAAAGGCTACCAAGAAAAGCAGACAAGCAAACCCAGCATGGTTAAGGCTGAATTCAGCTGGGATGAGCCATGTACACCCTCACATTTGGGATCCTTTGTCTGATTTACAAAAAGTACCCATGTATCAGTTTTTTGAAAGAAAACAAACATTACAGTACAAGGCACATCTGTGCGTAAATTCTTGCTAAGCCATGGTTGTAAGTTTTTTTTTAAAGAAATCAACTGACCCTAAAAATTGCTTCTATTTAAACAGGCAGAGGCATCCCAGGTAAGCTGACTGGTGCCTCATACTTGTCCACCACACCCTATTAACCATTAGCCAGAAAAAGCAAACATTCTCTTTATTCAACTATTCTTCATTTGTCCTATGCAAAATTTCTGGCACTTTGGCGATTATGCACCTTTTCTTTATATCAACATTTTAGCTTTCTATTCAATGGTATAAGGACATACATATATATGTTTGCAAAATTGAGATCTTTCACCTCTCTGCAATGCAAAGAACAACCTAATATTTTGCTATCCAATTCCTAAGTATTAGTAGATTTACACAAATTTGTCATAAGGAAACTCTCAGATCTTTTCCCTGCTACATTATTTGGAACACTTCATTATAGATAAGGCAGTAATATTCTTTCTTTCCAATCTGTGCTTAAAAAGGCATTCTGCCCAGTTAAAAAAAAAAAAAAAAAAAAAAAAACAGGATCTTTTTATCACAGTTTTATTACAGATGTCACTAATAGAGGTGACTAAAATATTTATTCAAGTAGACTTCTCATTTAGGTATCCAATTATGGACTAATGCAACATTTAAAAACTTCAGGAAAACGTGGTCAGATGTTTAAATGTCTTGCATATAATGAAGAGGGAGCGCAAAGTATTTCCCAAATTGCAGGCTGCAATGAACACACAGTGAGTAGCTTTGTTTGGAGTGCAAATGCTGCCCTAGTTAGCAGTGAATAGTTCACTGTTGGCTTCCTCAAAACATGACAGAGAAAGGACAGGGTGTATACATGTGTTTCACATCCATTCTTATTTTCACACTGAGATTTACTTTTATTCTCTACCTCTGGAAACCATCATCTAAAAGTCGCAACAACTTGTAAAGCCCTAAGATCTTGATAGGAAACAGGATGCCTTTAATCCATTACCACACAGTAGATCATCAACAATAATTATTCCTACAACCTCAAGCTCATTTCTCTATAGTCCAGCTGCCAGAAGCACAGACTGAAAGTCATGACTTTTGACTCATTCTCCTCCTGGAAGCTGCTGCTTCCTCACCGAGCACAGTCAGAACTCAAAAGTGGGTGTTGGCCGGAGCAGGAGGACAGTTCACTCCTGGGGGTTCAAGTGGGAGCCCTGTGCCCAGCTCAGCCCCGTGCCCAGCTCAGCCCCATGCCCAGCTCAGCCCCGTGCCCAGCTCAGCCCTGTGCCCAGCTCAGCCCCGTGCCCAGCTCAGCCCCATGCCCAGCTCAGCCCTGTGCCCAGCTCAGCCCTGTGCCCAGCTCAGCCCCGTGCCCAGCTCAGCCTTATGCCCAGCTCAGCCCACTGCTCAGCTCAGCCCCGAGCCCAGCCCAGCCCCGTGCCCAGCTCAGCCCTGTGCCCAGCTCAGCCCCATGCCCAGCTCAGCCCTGAGCCCAGCTCGGCCCTGTGCCCAGCTCAGCCCCGTGCCCAGCTCAGCCTTATGCTCAGCTCAGCCCTGAGCCCAGGTCAGCCCTGTGCCCAGCTCAGCCTTATGCTCAGCTCAGCCCCATGCCCAGCTCAGCCCTGTGCCCAGCTCAGCCTTATGCTCAGCTCAGCCCTGAGCCCAGCTCAGCCCTGTGCCCAGCTCAGCCCCATGCCCAGCTCAGCCCTGAGCCCAGCTCAGCCCCGTGCCCAGCTCAGCCTTATGCTCAGCTCAGCCCTGTGCCCAGCTCAGCCCCGTGCCCAGCTCAGCCTTATGCTCAGCTCAGCCCTGTGCCCAGCTCAGCCCTGTGCCCAGCTCAGCCCCGTGCCCATCTCAGCCCCGTGCCCAGCTCAGCCTTATGCCCAGCTCAGCCCCATGCCCAGCTCAGCCCTGAGCCCAGCTCAGCCCCGTGCCCAGCTCAGCCCCGTGCCCAGCTCAGCCCTGTGCCCAGCTCAGCCCCGTGCCCATCTCAGCCCCGTGCCCAGCTCAGCCTTATGCCCAGCTCAGCCCCATGCCCAGCTCAGCCCCATGCCCAGCTCAGCCTTATGCCCAGCTCAGCCCCATGCCCAGCTCAGCCCCGTGCCCAGCTCAGCCCAGTGCCCAGCTCAGCCCAGTGCCCAGCCCCTGCAGCAGCCAGGCTGACCTGCCCCCTCCCCACGCAGCCCCACCCTGGTCCAGTGCCTGCTCTCCCCGGGTACAAGCCCAGAACCAGCCCAAACCCCTGCTGACACCCTCCCCTACCCAGCCTACAGCACCTTTCCTCTGCAGGGCAGCTCACCTCAGCACCATCAGACTGGATTCCCCAAGTTCTCCACTGTGAGATCTCCCTTTGTGAAAATAGACATTATTTTTCCTTGCATTTGTAATATTTAAAGGCTTACAATTTTGGAAGGTAAGTGGTGGAGAAAAGCACTTCATGGAATTTTATTTTTAAAAATGGTAATAAATTCTGAGGCAGAAGAATATACATAATAATATAAATAATTTGTGTGATACTTCTTAATGAAATGCCAAAACACTCATCATATCGCAATTATTTTAGACAATGAAGGGACAGCTTTACCATTTCCCCAAAATCTTCTCCATTTTTTTAAAATGAAAGCTCATACACTAATTCAAACTTTTAATTACAAATTGCCTATGAAAATAAGAAGTTCAGGCACTTCTTGTATTTCCTTTTATTTCTGGATTATAAAGGAGGTGAAGACAGACAGAAATAATGCAAAAATGCATAACTTTTCAAAACTTAAGTTTTAAGCTTAAAGGAATCTAAATAAAGGAATCTAAATAATTTGAAATTCCACATGACTGCTGAAAACTATAACCATTTCAGCCTACTTTCCTTTATTATTACAGTCCCTCATTCATATGGATACTTTTTCAGCTTCACAGATATGAATTTCATTATTCATATTTCTCCACATTAGCTTATCCTTTTCAACTATTTCTGTTTTAAAAAAATATTATTTGTTACAGTAAGGTTAGTGGCTTTTTTATTAAATGCTAATATTAAAATCAAATCCAAAAATCCACTTTTAATTTCTTTTTCCAAAGTATTTTATTCCTTCTGGTAAAATACACGGGAATATATACACATGGAGATTTGTGTTTGTTAAATAACAGGAATTCCTTACTCTGCCTGGGTTGTGGTTGACTGAAATACACATAGTGAGTGAGACATATCCAGAGCACATCAGATGTGCTTGCATCAGCCACTGACAGACATCACAAGCAGCAGACTCACAAGAAATTCCCTGTATGTTACATAACAGTGCAATCCCCCAGTTTGACCCAGACAATATTTCTCAATGGAAAAGAGTACTAGTTTTAGCTAAACACATGTATTTTGATAATTTTTTTCAACGCTTCTGTTTGAAGAAGCTTAAAATACTTTTACAGCTTACAATACTTTTATAGCTATTATTTTTCCTTTTTACTGCTTTTTAACCCTCTAAAACACCAACAGAGATTCACAGAATTATTTAGGTTTGAAAATATTTTAAAGATCACCAAATCCAACTCTAATCCAAACACTGCCAAGCCCACCACATGTGTTCCCAAGCACCACATCTATACACATCTTTTAAATTGTGATTAAATCACTTCCCCAAGCAGCCTTTTCCAGTGCTTGGCAACCCTTCTATGTACTGAATATCATTGGGACTACTTAGGCTGAAAGAAGCCTGTTGCTGCGTGTTGGAGCTCCTCATTTGCTACTTAAAAAAAAA